AGTCATTCATGAAGCAACCTCTCAGGATCATCGCGTTGAGGCCATTGTTCATCACCTCACCCATCCACTTCATCCTGGCGACTTACTTCAGCCGCAGTTTGCGCAAGTCAGTTTTCCTACGATCTGCACTCATGATGAGAAGGTTAGCTGGCGAGTAGGATGCAAAGGTCTAATGGATGTGTGGCTGGCTGCAAATCCTGTCATATGTTGTGAGCCCGAGGCGTACACGGATGACAGGGCTTACAACCCGCATTGTGACACGGCGACAATAGGAATAGGGACCTCACAACACCACCCGACAAGGTCTATTTATAATCAAGGCGAGACATGAATGGCGGATCAGAAACATGCGACAAGGGTGATGGAATAGCCAACTGTTCTCTATTGAAAAGCAACGACTACTCGTCTTGAATCACTGCACAGCGGTGTCTGCGTAGTCCGCGCTTCCCGCTCCCACACCGCCCGCACTCGGCCAACATCGTCCAAAAGGACGGCCCCCCGTCCGCACACAAAAGTGTCGGCCAGATAACCAGGAAAGAAAAGAGGTTGAAGTTCTTTCATCTCCAGTTAACGCCGATGTAAATGCCCGTCTTGTGTAAATCCCGATCGAACAATGCGAAGGGGGTATCATGCCGAATGGAGCTCGCAATCCGGAGCCCGTGTCACGTCTCTCGTTGTTTCCCGAGGAACCGACACGCGCCGGGACTCGCTCCTGTATGTCTTTGTTGAAAGACGCCACCGCTCCAAAGGTCTTCCCATGACCAGCCCAGCAGCAACTTTTATCGCCCACCGCTCAAGAGGAGGAAGTAGAGAAAAGAGACCTGAGTTTGAAAAAAGAAGAAGGACGCCGAAGCTTGCATTATGGTTGTTTGTATGAGAGTGTATCGTAAGCCTTACCCGTTTAAGGCTAAAATCCGGGATTCGTTGAGAACCGTACGCCATGTTTGTGTGACTGCCTGCCCACGTCATAGTTGAGAAAAAAGCATGAAAACGTCTATTCATAGCAATGCAGAGAGCTTGTTGAACGCTCTCTGGGGTATCGTTGGGGCAAAAAGAATTCCGGTCGAAACCGCTTAGAACTTGAGCTGCTTAGGCTGCTCCCAGGTGAAGGTCTGGTTGGTGCCGAAGTGACCGTTCTTGGCGGTCTGGTTGTAGATGGGGCGGTCAAGGTTGAGCTCACGGACAATGACACCAGGGCGGAGGTCGAAGTTCTGGTTGATGATCTCGACGAGCTCATCGGAGGTCCTGTCGGAAGTGCCGTAGGTGTCAACGTAGATGGAGAGGGGCTCGGCGACACCAATGGCGTAGGAAAGCTGGACGAGAACACGACGGGCGAGGCCGGCGTTGACGAGAGACTTCGCGATCCAGCGGCCGACGTAGGCAGCGGAACGGTCGACCTTGGAGTAGTCCTTTCCGGAGAAAGCACCACCGCCGTGGGCGCCCCAGCCACCGTAGGTATCGACGATGATCTTGCGACCGGTCAGACCGGCGTCACCCTGAGGGCCACCGATGATGAAGAGGCCAGAGGGTTGGATCTGAGGTCGCCGTTAGCTTCTCTTCCAGGATGGCTAGGAATAACTCAAGGTACTCACGTGGTAGATGGTCTCGTCGTTGAGGTACTTGGCGGGGATGACCTTCTTGATGATCTTCTCGAGGATCTCCTTGCGGAGCTGCTCAGTGGTGATGTCCTCGCTGTGCTGGGCAGAGACGACGACGGTGTGGACGCGCTGGGGGATGACAGCACCCTTGTCGTGCTTGTACTCGATGGTGACCTGGGTCTTGGTGTCGGGGCGGAGCCAAGGCAGAGAGCCGTCGCGGCGGGCAGCGGACATGGCAGCGTTCAGCTGGTGAGCAAAGAGGAGGGTCAGGGGGAAGAGCTCGGGGGTCTCGTCGGTGGCGTAGCCGAACATGATACCCTGATCACCGGCACCGAGCTGCTCGAGAGCCTTCTCGTAGTGGAGACCCTGGGCGATATCAGGAGACTGCTCCTCAATGGCGACGAGCAGGTTGCAGGTCTTGTAGTCGAAGCCCTTGGAGGAGTCATCGTAGCCGATGTCCTTAATGGCGTTGCGGACGACCTTCTGGTAGTCGAGCTTGGCCTTGGTGGTGATCTCGCCGAAGACCATGATCATACCGGTCTTGGTGGCCGTCTCGCAAGCAACCTTGGAGAGGGGGTCCTCAGCCAGGCAGGCATCGAGAATGGCGTCGGAAACCTGATCGGCGATCTTGTCGGGGTGGCCCTCGCCAACAGACTCGGACTGCGGAATCGGTCAGTACAACTGTCCTCTTACGGCAAATTACGGCGTGGACAGGCCAGGCGGGGCGCGCAGCAAGAAAAAAAACTTGCGGCTCAATTCCGAGGAGCGACAAGGTGGAGGGAGTGGAATACTCACGGTGAACAGGAAAGTTCCCTCGTTGTGCTTGAAGCCGTTGACACCGTTGCCAGTCGTCATTGTGAAGGGTGTATGTGTGTGTGTATAGAACCCTGACGAGGTAGGAAAGACCCGGTGAGAGGTGAGGGAAAAGAGAGGAATTGAGGTGGCTGTGAGGGGCAGGCAGGTTAGACACAGTTCTCTGACGGAGGAGGTGAGAGGGCGATAAGAGGACAGGTAGCACGAGCAAGATGAGGCAGGGCAGGGCAAGCGCAGGGCAGGCAAGGGAAAACACGTACGAAAAGGTTGATGATGAGGGGGACGGTAGGACAGAAGTTGCGGTGGAGAGAAGGGGGGACCCTGAGTTTTAAAGACGGTCCAGAGCGGTTGGGGAGGTGACAGTCAAGACAGCCAGGGGGAGGGCGGAGGCAGGAAGCAGAGGCAGGCGCCAGGGGAGAATTTCTTCAGATCGGGTCAAGTCGAGCTCGGGCAAAGCTGGCACGTTTTTGGCGCAATTCGAGGAGGGGTACCTGTATGGGGGCCGCCGGGCATCGGACCGCAGTAAAAGATACCTTCTCATTCACCACATGTGATACTTGGGCTAAGTAGTCACTAACAGTGCCCCTCGATTGGCATGTCCCCACCCGAATCCTCACCAACGGCCGCCCCAAATTGCGCCATTGCTACCCGTGCTTGTGCTTGTACCGCCTCAAGCGGGCTGCTAGCCCCTCTCGACCTGACTCACCGCCTTCCGTGAATGGCACCCTCAGGCGTCGCAAGTGCGAAGAGTGAGGGGCATCTTGGTCGCGGCAAATCATTTTTTTTTCTTCGACGCGATAGCATATTGATGCCGCCCGTCAGCGTTGTGATCCAGCATTCCCCGTCGTAAGCCGATTGTCCTTAGGCTTCTGGTGCCTCGAGTCGGTCCCGATTGATTGCAATATCACGCCTCAGTCCATGACCGCGCCGCTGCCGAAACCTGTCTTGACTCACCTACCCGGCAGAACGCTCTGACCCCTGTCCACTCAACAATTGCTCTGACGTTCCTGGTCCTGTATGGCGGGGTAACTTGTGACTGCAAAGCTAAACAACCTTCTGGCTCATCATCCCACCGTATTTCTTTTTCCTGACGTAGCGAAACTTTGCACAGTCTCAACACCACAATCCACAAGGTCTTGGCTCTATCTCTTCTCAATCACGTACACGCTGTCTCTCGTCCACCGCCATCATGAGCAAGTTTGGTGTCATGGTCATGGGGCCGGCCGGCGCCGGCAAGGTGCGTGTTTCAATTGCTTCCTCGTCACCCTTGACTTTGACTGCCTTGCTGACCCTGTCCAGTCCACATTCTGCGCCTCTCTGATCACGAATCTGAACCTTAACCGCCGCTCCGCCTTTTACGTCAACCTGGATCCAGCCGCCGAATCCTTCGAGCACGAGCCCGATCTCGACATTAAGGATCTCATCTCCCTGAAGGATGCCATGGAAGAGGTTGGCCTCGGCCCCAACGGTGGCCTCATCTACTGCTTCGAGTTCCTCATGGAGAACCTCGACTGGTTGACAGAGGCCCTCGACTCTCTGACCGAGGAGTACCTCATCATCATTGACATGCCCGGCCAGATCGAGCTCTACACCCACATCCCGATCCTTCCGGCCCTGGCCCGCTTCCTCGGTCAGACTGGGTCGCTCGACATTCGCCTGTGCGCCGCCTACCTGCTCGAAGCCACCTTCGTCGTCGACCGCGCCAAGTTCTTTGCCGGAACCCTCAGCGCCATGTCAGCCATGATCATGCTCGAGATCCCGCACATCAACATTCTATCCAAGATGGACCTTGTCAAGGACCAGGTCCGCAAGAAGGACCTCAAGCGGTTCCTGACGCCTGACACGACGCTCCTCGAGGATGACCCACAAGGCATCGGTCGCGAGGCGCGGCCCGTGGATGACGACGAGACGGGCGATCCGCAGGACCGCGACCTGATCATGCGCGGCACCAGCTTCAACAGGCTCAACAGGGCTGTCGCCGGACTGATAGAGAACTTCAGCATGGTCAACTATCTAAAGTTGGACTCGTCCGACGAGGACAGCGTGACGTCCATCCTCAGCTACATTGACGACATTATTCAATATCACGAGGCGCAGGAGCCCAAGGAGATGAAGGACGAGGAATTCGAGGAGCCGCAGGACGATTAGACTGGGAACAACTGTCGTATGACAGGTCTTAGTCTTCATGACGCAAAAGAGAGGTGGAACGGCACGATCTTGATTTTAGGGAAGTATCTGCATAGCGATGGCGTCGGGTTACCATGTATCGTTCGATACGCGCAAAATGGACGGTGGAATGCCACCAATATGATTCATCATCCTCTTTGTCTTGACATGATATCGTTGCTACCAATTGTGCGCCGTCTTGGCTGTTGGGGCCAACTCTGCTTTCGAAATGCACTCCCGCCGATCTCGTGTCTTGCGTCAAACCTGATATCCTATGTCCGTACCGTATACAGCCAGATATCATCCTGGCAATCCCCCCCCCTGGAAAAAAAGACAGAGCTGTGCCGAGCCGTGCCGTCGATCATCCATGTCCGCCCGTATCCAGCATCATCCTTCTCTTCCTCGTGTTCCAATCCGCCCCTCTCAGCGTCTCCCCTGCACCCGCGCCTCCTCCTCGTACCTCCGCAGCTCCCCGACCCAAACATCCTTCGCCACAGCCAAGAATCCCATGATCTTGCCCCCGACGACAACAGCATCCTTGACCGTCTCGAACACGCCGTTCCGCACGACGGCCGAGCCCACGGCGACGACGGCCGCCCAGAACACCAGCCGGAACACCATGCGCGTCGCGAACAGCATGAGGCGCCGGATCCAGCCGAGGACGATCCACGCGGCGGCGAGAAGCGCGACGAAAGCGGCGAGGGAGACGAGGCCCGGCGACGCCGTCAGGAGGGCGAGCGCCCGGTCGATCAAGGGCGCCAGGAAGACGTAGGCGATGTTGAGGGCCTGCTGGAGCTTGATGGCGGTGTGGCGCTTGAAGATCTGGACGGGCGAGTGCGGGTGGAAGGCGGTCGTGTGGAGAAATTCGAGCGTCTCGGGGGAGAGGAGGCCTTCGAGGAGGGTTAGTGGTGAGTCGTCTTCTGGAGGCGCCATCTTGGCGGGTTGTGGTGATGGCTCTTTTTGGGTTGGGGATTGCTCGGAGGGTGTGCGGGTGTGGGAGTGTCGCTGGCTGGTTGACAAGGGAAGATGTTTTGTTCGCGTGCAAAAGTCGCGTTCTTCTGGATCGAGCCGCGAGTTGTTGCAAAGGGGTCTCTTGTCAAGTGTTGTGCAGAAGCGGTGTTGATGGAGGGACAGGGTGGCCGCGGGAAGAAGCTCTGGCGGTTGCGCGCCCATAACTTTTGTAGCGATAAGCTGTCCGATAAGAAGTGACAGCTCATCAAGTGCCCCGCTGGCAACGACAGTAACAACAAAAGGTTCATGTGCAAGAAACAGAGCACAAAGACGAAGCCAGAACAATCAGTAAAGATAGTAAAACAGGCACTCACCAGAGCTGGCCAGCTCATCGTGGAGTCGGTAATCGGTTAGATCCATTTTCGAAGTGCAGACGTAGTCTCTAGAAGACGTTGCCGTATATCGTCACAGATGTTCAAACAGTGCAAGACACAGCACCTCGCAAGAAATGAAGCTCAAAGTAAACGGTTCAGAAACACCCCAACGACTTCACAATTAGGGAAGCATGGAATCGCAAGTAAACACCACATGACATTTCAAGACCAGGGCCCTGCTCGCCCTTTCAATAAACTACAACCACCGCTCAGTGGAGCCCCTCCCCACCCGGCACGGGGTCCGTCCGCCGGAGCGCAGGCCCGCGACGCCACTGTGCGCGTCCGGTACCGTAATCCGCACAGTGTCACAGCCGTCAGTAGGTGGTCTCCCGCGGTTCTGCCAGGCGCAAGCGGGGACTGATCGGCGGACAAGGCAGTTCTGAGGTAACCTGTCGATGTTGGTGATACTGGGCACTGTGGGCTCGGGCCGAGGCCGTATGTTCTCTTCGATTGGTATCGCATTGATTCCTAGGCCTTTGGAGTAAGTGGTGACGTTCCGTTCATCGTGGCAATTAACATCGTCTTCCAATACGGTCCCTCAGACGACACGGCGTGGAGGCCCCTACGAAGGAAATCTCTAGTCCGACTTTCTCTGGCACTTCGTCTCGACCATGTCTCGCGTCCAAGATTGAGGTGAATGATGATCGTTGCAACCATGTGTCTATCTTATGTCAAGTCTACACGTTGCCCGCCGCGTGGCGCCGAACCATCCCCCTCTGGAACCGTAATCCGTCAAGGACAGGTTAACAGGCATTGAATGCCACCAGCGATAGCAAGCGAGCTTGCTCAAGCGCAAGGTTGAAGAAAAACGAGAAAGAAAATGAAAGCATTTGTCCGACTCATCGGGACACACAAGTTTGGGTATTGAAAGTCGTCGAGCGGCTGGCCGGCCTCCTATCGGCCCCTTGCTCCGTCTTCGTGCCTTCCCTTCTGCCGCGGCAGGTTCATTTGACATTATCAGTGTTTCCATCAGAGGACGCCTTGTGACATAGAAAACCAGGGGCAGAACTGCCTCCCGTATCGTAACACCAGCACCAAGCTGCGCCTCAAATGGTGGTCTTACATGCTCCCAATGAGGAATTGGGTAGCTAGCACCTGGGTGCTCTTTAAATCGACTCCAAGCCCTCGAGGAGCTTTCTCGCCGCATCGATGCGTCGCCTGTACATGCGGCTCTCTGCCGATGCCCTGCCCGACTCGCTGAGCCCGAGGACACATTTGCCAAGGCTGGCCACGAGTCGCTCGACAAGAATTTGATCTTCCTTGGCCAGTTGTTGTATAGCGACATTGTCCCCTGTCTCGCCATCCTTGCCGCAGATGCTTGCCGTGTCGTTCATCAAGCTCTCAGCCAAACTCTTCAGCGCCGGGTCGGGCGATCCTTGCGGTGTGCCCTGGGGCGTGGGCACGCCGTTGAAGGTCCGTCTATTGACCAAGGGAAAACTGCGCTGTGTTGCAGGTGAGTCCAGAGAGGAGATTGACGGTCGGCTTCTCGAGGCTGCAGGTCGGTTCAGAGGTCGCGAATAGATAACGGAGCTGGCGCGCTGGCGCATCGGCCTCGCTGATGTTTGCACACTGAAAGAGCTGTCTTCGCTGATGCCCGGTCCGAACGATGCCCGTGTAGCTGTCAAGGGGCTCTCGGTTCGTACATCGGTCGTCCTGGCCACAGCGAATTGGGGCTCGTCTTCTCCGTCGCTATTTTTCCTGCTGGATTGGCCTTCGGTGGCGGTTGCAAATGAGTCCATCGTAGACATGGTGTCGCCGCTGCCTCTGCGGCGCAGTGTTGCTTCAACTTGATCCGCATTTGAGGTGCTCGGGCCGCGCGTCGTCTCAACCGAATCCTCGGAGCTGTAACTACTGCTGCTGCCTCTCCGCTTCATGCGCTTCTGACTGAACGATCCCATGGCGCTGTGAAGGAAGAAATGCTCGTAATCGAAAGCATCCTCTCGGTCTTCGTGAGACACGGCTGTCTGCGGCGCATCATGGTATAGAGATTCTCCACTTTCGCTGTCCCAGTCGCCAAAGGTACCCTCTTCAGCGTCTTCGAATCCGTCCTCTGTCTGCATGTCATCAACATCGTCTGCGTACTCCTCCTGCCCGTCCGAGTCGGTTTGGAGTCGATCCTCTGCGCGAAGGGCTTCTTGTGCCGCTACGTAATCACTGATCACCGATTCAGCGTCATCTTGCTCATCCAAAGCGGCAGTCGGAGCGATGGCGTACTCCTGGGCTGCCTGTGTCTCCGCTTGCGCCATGCGTTCCCCGTCAACACTTTCCATTTCGCCATTCCAAGGGTTCCTCCCCAGAGGTGTGAGTGAGGCGTCAGACCTCTTTGGCTTGATGGTACCAGCGTACCACTGGTCGGTCCCTGCATGCGTGAAAGGACTAGGTGTTCGCAGGCTTTGCAGACTCCGCCGTTTCAGACTGTCCGCTCGTGCCTGTTCTCGCAGCGAAGAGATTTTCCCCTTCAGATCGGACACCTGATCCTTGATATCCCGCATCTGCATGACTGAAGCCGATCGGGTCAAGCCCTTGTCTGGTTGATGCTGCGTATAAGGACCGAATGTTGGGCTCAAAAAGGCGTCGAGCACGGCGCTGTCACGTTTCGATTGCATCTGTGGGTCGTTCTCCTCCCCCAAAGGCTCGAGCCCTGTGCTCAACATTGGTTGCTGTGAAATCTTCGACCGGACGTAGGGGCGACCGAGATCACCCATGCTGTGAGACCCAGGAAGAGGCTGTCGATATCCTCCTGCAGCACCAAGAGCACTAGCCGACCGTTTGGTGTAGTCTCCAGCGTTGTCACTGTTAGTTCCTACTTCGCTCCTCATGCGGAAGTGCCCTGGTGCGGAACTGGGAGACGTGGCTGCAGAAGCAGACCTCGCAATTGGGGGGGATGGGGTTCCTGATCCGACAGAAGAGTGTGGAGGCGTAGAGACCGTGTCGAGTGATGTGCGTGCTCTCGACAAGTTCCCTTCCATGGTCTGTGAAAGTGTCAGTCTCGACGGCTGGAAACAACATGAACCGATCAGAAACATACCGTTAGCCTCTTCTTAGCATTGGCTAGGATCTCTTCCGCCTTCTGACTGATGGAGACTGTAGAGTGTCTATTCTCGTTGTTCATTCCCAAGCCTTGGCCCGGAGGCAAGGGCATAAATTTGGCCTGCCGGGCGGTGGTGTCGTCAATATGCGACTCGGCAACGCTTTCTTCATCATCACCCTGGAAATTACTGTCGTCAACGCTGACATCGTCGTCAAAGTCGGCGAAATGGCCATTGTTGCCCTGCGTGGTGACGGTGCTTGTCGAATCGATGGATGCACGCCTCAATTGTTGGACCTTGGCACGCCTCTTCATTGCATCAAGACCCACGGAGGGTGAGGGCTGCAGCATGGTGTCTTTTGTTGAATCGGGCTGTGTAACATGGCGACGTGGAGCAATGGGCCAGGAAGGCTTGCCGACGGTGCTTTCGACCTCGGTCACCTCGCCAATATCGGACAGCATTGTGCCGTTACCGTAGATGATGGGCGTTGTGGGCGTAATGGGCCCCGATCCAAATTGGCTCAGGGAGGAAGACTGATAGTGGGCATCGCTTGCATGGGCATTCTTCCACATCATGAGGGGCGATTCGGATCGGTCAGGGGAGCCGCCGCCGTAGTCTGGTAGAATCATATCGGGATTCGTCAAAGTGGGTGAGCCAGGCGCAGGCGGGTACGACATGCCCATGGACATCGTCGAGCTCGTATTGGAGCCTTGCCTGGCATGGGCGTGGAGTGTCTGCGTGGCCATGTCTGGCTTTGTTCAGAAGCAGCAGTAGCGCGCCCTTCTGTGCGGCTTTGCGCTCCTTTGACCTAATGCGCTTGTGAAGCGATTTTGTGTGTACAGACGCCGAAATCTCTTGGTTGTCGTTCGTATGATGCTGTGCGACAGCAGCTTGCGGTCCCTTTCAGCAGATGCAATCGAGAAGACCAGCACCCGAAGCCGTCGCGTCTTTCGTTCCCTCCTTCCGCGCGCCGTCGCAAGAGCGTGGAAGCAGACAGATCCAATGTTCACGGCAAGTGTATTTCGGTTGGGATTGTCGAAGAAAAACTCAAGTCGGAGAGATAATAGGCAGTCCTGTTTATGTAACAATATGCAGGGAGAGCTTGAATGCGAAAAGGTGTACGGGTTGCAGTAAAGGAATCATGGGTCGGTCATTGGTCGTTGATTGTCGTCGTCAGTGATGTTTGTCGTCGTAGTAGCCGTGGATGGTCGTAGTGGAGGAATCCTGGGCGAGTCTCCTTCCACTTCTCCTTCCGGGGTTGGCTTGTCTTTGAGAAAGACGTCTTCGTCGTGGAACGACTCAGGCGGCTCTCGTCCCAAGTAGTTTGCGCTCGGTGGAGAGGGGCGAATGCGGTGAGTAGTTGGATGCCGCGTGGGCACGAGACATTCAGGTGTCAATGTACTTCGTTTTGTTTGGTTCGTCGTATTCGTTGGCTCGTTGCTTCTTGACTAGTGTCTTGCTTTTTGGTCGCGGGCCTGGAGCTAGAGCTGAGCCGGCTTGGATGGCTGGAATGTTGGGG